AGAACTTGAACTTGTTAAAAATCTTTTTTAAAATTCAAATGGGTAAAAATTGGTTTCTGAAAGGTGTTTCTTTAGTTTAGCTTTAAATCTACTTACAAATGTAATACTATTGTCTTTCATGATCGCAACAAAAATTTAAATTTAACCCTTCAAATAAGACAATCAAATTGAATATGTATTCTTTATTCCAAACCAACAGTGTAAAATACCAATAATAGGTTGAATATAAGTTAATCCCTCTAGTTCGACGTTCTGAAAATTGGGGGAAAAAAATAACAAAGAGACGTTTCATCATGGAGAAAAAGTTTTTAATATAGCCGCATTATTGTTACAGCGAATGCGTCGCTTTGCACACGCTGCTAAATTTCCAGACGATGGGTGCTATTTGAGTTATAAGCGGTTTTTGTGTCTATGCCCCCTCGGGAGCTAGACACTATGTTACCGTCTAGATAACCCTGTAAGATCGAGTAAATCCGGTATGGAGGAATGATGGGATGAGTCATGAGCTAAAGATCAAAGTAAACATGACTTGTCCTAGAAAGATCACTACAGTAAACAGCACCACACATTTCTTAATAACCGAATGCCCATGTGAATACTTTATTGCTAAACATAATACTAGTAAGGTAGTCTTTCAAAGTTGTGGAGTAACAGTGTGCGTAAAAGTTTGTGGAAGAAGGAGAAAGCTATGACGTGTGTGGCTGAACCGTGTTTGGTTGAAACATGGTAGAAAAAAAAAACAATCAACAATTGTGGGGTATGAAAAACAAATGTACGGTATTATTTATTTAATACAATAATATTTAATTTGTATACAATGAAATTTTATCACTGAGAGAACAGATAATGATGTCAAAATATTGTATATAGGCCTACATGGAGGCTTCATGATCAAAAGGTCTTGCCAGGATTTGGTATGTTGGTCCCTGGCGCGGCTGGGCTGCTAGGCCGCGGCTTGGTGCCTGGAATCGTAAATAGGCCGTGAAGTAAAAAGTTTGCGGAACGCTGCTCTAGTTGATACTGTTAAAATTCCTTGGTATCTATATTGACTTTCAATTAAACTGATTATCTCATATTGACTATATTTCTAAAATAATCTAAAAAATCATCGGCATTATTTAAAATGTTTTGTCTCAATCTATTTTACGTATTGTCTATTGTTCATTTGTTTTGACTTATTTAAGTTATTGTATTATTGCCTGGGCCAAAAATACCCTCATAATCTTGACAATCCAATAATTCTCCAAACATGTTATTGAACTTATTTCGGTTTCATCCCTTTAGTTACACTGATTTAAAAACATCTTCAACAGGAAGTCTCAAATTGTATCTTATTTCTATTTAATAAATTCTTCTTTTTTCTTCTAAGCGTTTCTTTGATTACAGTTTGCATTACTATATTTCACTTATCTGTTTTTTTTTTTTTTTTTGTGTGTGTGTGTTTTTTTTTTTTTTGTTCTTCGTTCTGTAATTTACCATACCCTTATATTTATGGCTCTTCCGACACAGGCCTGTCTTTAGGAAGTTGCCTTCCTCTTTTTCCTTCACCTTAATGATTATTTTGTTACCCAATTGTACATCTTCATTTAAATTTTGTAGTATTAGATTGATTTTTTAAAGAAGAGTATACATGTTTCATTTGAATTGAATAGAATTGAAAATTGGTTATTTAAACAGTGGTTTAGAAGAGGTTGTGAATGGTGAGTTAGTAACTACAGTAGTCTAGCTATTGTTTATTAAGTTTATACAGTTTTGCTGGTTTACCCAGGCTACGCTCCCATATTGAAGGTGTGGATAAAATGCATATTGACTATAGCTATTGTATTACTAGTAAGTACTAGTATGTTTAGGGGAAGGTGTTTAACTTTATACCAATACCAATATTATATACTATTGCAATTATTATTGAAGTTCATTGAAGTATACGAGTATTATTATACATAATATATAAATCAGAATATCTAAGTCATACAGAATATATAAATCAGAATATATAAATCATACAGAATATATAAATCAGAATACATAAATCATACAGAATATATAAATCAAAATATATAAATCATACAGAAAATGTAAATCATACATAATATATAAATCGAGTGCTGTTTTGAGTCATTTCAATTGTAATCATGAAGAGGGGAGCAGGCGCTCCCGAAAATTTGTTTTTTTAATAAAATATATGCTTCAAAGTAGTCACCTTGTGAAGAATGTTATTTCTGTTCTGCTTACTTATTTTATATATATTGAAGCATACGTGGATTTGATATCTTTTGATCATCACCAACATGTTATTTGAACCACACCTCGACTCGGTTGCTCTCCACGAAAGACGACGATTGGAACGCCTCTGGACTCGACTCGCTAAAACGAGAACGCACATCGTCTTTTTAAAACAGTGTAAACAGTTTGATCTTGTTCCATTCGGACTAAGGGTTCGCAACCCTATGCATGGACCCCATCCACAATCTACCCGCATTTGCCGCCAAACGTCCGAAAAACTCAGAAACTGTGCAATCAACGAAGCTTACCAGAAACAAAGCTCACTTCAATCCTGTAGTTCATCCTCATCACTGCTAATCTGTACTGAGGATTTGGCCAAAGTCAACGATTTCTTGAAATTCAGGTATGAAAGCGTACTTAATTATTCGTTTCAAGACAAAGCAGAGAAACTTATGAAACTTGCTAAAGAAGATTCATATCTACAGTCATTATGCCGCTTCGATTCCATACTTTTCAAATGTTTTCCTAAGAAATCGCTTCCCGTCCAGGACAGTATGCACTCTACATCATCTTGCGTAGTTAATCTGTCTAACTACACCACCACTAACGACCAGCTCTCCCTATTGGAAAAGGGGTTATCGTTCTGCCCATCTAACGCACTGAAACCAATCAAAGTATGTGCCGACTTTCATGCGTTTTCACGCAAAGTTAGACTCAGAGAATTCTTTGCTGATGGCAATCACACATCTGCTACCCATCTGAAACGACCACCAAAATCATCTACGAAAAAGCCGTGGACCCCTCCTACCGGCAGGAACGTGCACATCGACAGTTTCGTCAACACAGCCAGGGCTCATCTAGACCAATTCCTTACTATAACGCTTTGTCCAAATCCACTCCAGACAACTTAAACAAAAACGAACGCAAAGCTGTCAAGGACTTAAAAAACAATTCGGACATTGTTATTAAGGTTGCTGATAAAGGCGGCTCCATTGTTATACTTGACAAAGATGATTACATAAAAGATGCAGAAAATCAGCTGAATAATCCTAATTTTTACAATATTTTGCCTCCTAATGATTATCATAATGATTTACTTGATTTAATGTCTAAGCTCGATCATGTTGATGTTAATTTGAATGATTTCATCCCACAGGAACCTAAACCCGGCCTTTTTTACACTATCCCCAAGCTACACAAATTAGGGTCTCTTGTTAGCAAGGCCTTGATGTCAGGCTCTCATCCCGCTCGCTTCTCTCCCACCATCTTAAAATCCCCCCTCATCTTCGATATTGCCAAGTCGTTATCTATAACCCTCCTGGTAGACCCATTGTCTCTTGCCGTGGCACCCTCACTGAATTTTTGTCTGGATATATTGATTCTATTATCAACCCCCTACTCTCCAATATCCCCAGCTATATTCAAGATACCACCCACTTCCTCAGAAAACTCGAATCTATTTCCACTCTCCCCCAAGATGCTATACTTGTTACTATGGATGTGTCATCACTCTATACTAACATCCCTCACAACGAAGGCATCCAAGCTTGCTCCGATTTTCTTCTCACTCATTCATTTTCCACTGATGCCGTCTCTGATTTATCATCATGGGCGGCGGAACCACTTTTTGGCGAAAAATATATAATGTCTGGAGAACTTTGTATGATCGGAAATGCAAAAAAAGAAGGAGGGAAGAAGGAGAAGGATGGGAAAGAGAATGTTTATCCAGTACCCGACCGAGTTACATTTTCTCGCAATTCACA